TGGCGGCACCGCGGAACGAGGAGCGCAAACCTTGAAACCTCCTCATACGTGGCTTGAGGGGGGCAACTCGTTTCTTCTGGACCTTAACACTCCGTTGTTGTTTTTTGAGGGTAAAATCAACCCCGAGGTTTTTGGTGGCCTTACAAACCTGACCCCCCCACCCTTTGATCATAGTGCCCACCTCTCTCCCAACTTCGGCATGCGTCACCATGGCCACTCCCTTGTCCTTGGAAATCACCAAGTGGAGCCCCTGGAGCTGGCTGAGAAGGTATCGGGCCGCGGTCCCAAGCCGCCGACCAAGGTGGGCTGTCGCACCAGCCGCGAACAAAGTGATGTCGTCCACCACGTTAAACACTCGCGTGCTCGGCCAGTGGACGATCATAGCATCGATGGGGGTGGGCAGGACGAGTTTCATCAGACTGGCCGCGAAGGCACATCCCGCGATGATCCCCTGGCCCGCGTTAATGATACCCGACATGACCTGCCCCATCTGGAGAAACTTGGGGGCCTGATACATAGCGAGCAACAGACGCAACCTGACCAGAGGAAACTCATGGCGTATAGCCGCATGGGCTAAAAGGATGTGCAGCACTTTCTCGTAGGCTTTCGTCAGGTCAACCAGGGCCGCAGCCGCCCCGATCCCGACCAACGTACCACACTCGGTGGCTCGCGGTTGCTCCCAAACCGCACGCTCGCAGCTCTTGCCAGCCGAACCGTAGTGGTACGTCCTTTTTTGGTTGCGCTCCCAGGCCACCGCCTCTCTACGCGTGACTTTGCCAAAAACCCTGCAGATCCCTGGCAGCAGCCCGATCGGTCTGAATCCCCCGTCAGGCTTGGGAAGGAGCGCCGTGAACATGAGCGCGAGCTGCACTGGAATGCGACCTATGGCCTCACTCCACTGCCAGATCGCACACAAAGTCTCGAGCGCCTCATCGCAAACCAGGGCCAGGTCCCGAGGGTGGATCGTGTCCGACCCAAGCGCCGTGCGCCTCTGAAATCGGCGAGCGGCGCCCCTGACATCCCTCACCGACGCTCTGGCAGGGGCCGCAGCGCACTCGTGCCCTTGCGCGCGCAAGCTGCGAATATGATGGTCCAAAAAGAGGATGGCGCCGGGGAAATGTGACGCTTCAGCGGGCTGGGTCCAGACCTCCTCCCAGATTCCTCGCATGTGGCCCATGAGGGCCCCTGGCCCAGGGGGGGGGGGACCTGGCCTGGCCGACGCTGGTTGCCATCCGATGGGGGCCTTACTGTATTTATGGGCAGCTCCACCCCCGTTGCTAACAGCCTCCTGGACCCAACCTCTCCAACGTTCTCCCCGAGCCGACTTGAACTGGCGCTCGAGCCTATCCGCTATCTCGGTGGCCTCCCTCTTGAGCGCATCCAAGTCCTGGACCGAACAGGCGAGCAGGACGTCTGGGAACAGCGACTTCCAGCTCAGCCATTCCTCGTCGTTCCTAAGGCTGACAGGTCCTCGCATGCTTTTACATATGATCCTGGACGATTCAGGCAGCCCCCAGGAGTCTTCCTTGGCTCTCAGGTGGCACAGCTCGTGAAGGAGAATGCTCACTTTCCCCCGCCCTCGAGACTGAGGACACCCGAGAGGGAACGCACCTCCTGAGGTTCGGAGGGCGGGGGCTTGCTTCAAACGTTTCTGCTTGCCTCGGCCGAACTACTTGTCATCCTGGACCTGCTAGATGGAGCCAAGCTCCCGTTCAAGCTTATCCAAGAAAACTCCGAAGCAACCGTCCAGATCGATGGCCGAACCCCTTCCTCAGCCCGCGCTAACACAGCCTGGTAGTCAGGCGGGGCCTCTCTGGGCCCAGGGGGGACGTCCCGAGGCAAGGGGGCAGGCCGAGGCAGAACCCAGACCTTGTCCAAACGGGGGTTCCCTTTTAGGGTGACGCCGATCGGCCAGCGCGGGCTGGTGGCGGCATCTTCGCTCCTGCCAATGTCAGAAAGGGTCGGCGCCAACGCAGCCGAGCAAACGTAAAAGTCAATGGTCTTCCACCGCTTGGCGACGGAGCGACAAGTGGAAACCGTTGGCGCCACAATCTGCCCCCCGAGACGCTCGACCCAACCCGACTCTCGAAGGGCCGAGGGCTCGCAATTCCAATCCCCTTCCGATGATGAAGGGAAGCCCAAGCCTACGCAGCGCCCCCCCCCCCCAATCTGGCCAGAAGGTGACGCCCATCTTCGCCGAGGGGGGCCCCTTGAGGAAGGTGCGCGCTGCCGAGGATAACCCCCCCTGGCACAGAAGCATTCACCCAAACAAGGGCGCACCTGTGGGGGGCGGGGAGGGCACGGCTTTTGGGAATGTCCCCAACCCCGATGTTGTTTCGAACCATAATTCCAACCCCGCACGACAGTCCTCCAGCGTCCGTCGCGATGGACGGGCGCAGGCGAGCCAACCGCCCAATCTTCTTGAGCGAGGCCTCGGTCTCGGCCCTGTCGGTGGCCTTGAGCATGAGCTCTTGGACGCAGATGAGCGACGCACTGGTCTCGGCTTTCAGATATCGCTTCAGGGGCGCGAGCGAAGTGCAGTTGCAGGTCTCAAGTCGGAGCCTCTTGCTCTTGTTCGCCATCGTCCCCTCGTGAGGTTCCAAGGGGGCATCAGGCTGTGCAATTGCAGAGAGGACAGGCCGATTCAAGCTGGCAGCTGCGACCGCTTCCCCCTCGGCCTCAGGCTCGCTGCTGCCCGAGACCGAAGGCTCAACTGGCTCCACCAGCTGAGGTAAATGAAATCTTGTTAGGAGCCGTTCCCTGCATCTGGCGACGAGGGGTCCGTCCTGCGGGACCCTTCCCCAAGACCCAGGGCCAGAGGTTGCAAAAACAGGGCAAGCTGCAACGGATCCTGCAGGGGAAGGCTCAGTACACCTACCGAAATCGTCGCTGTCGTTCCCCATCTCTGCCCCCAAGCCGATCCCCGAGGGTGAGTGCACCCGAGCCTCCTCTGCGCCGTCTTCACGCGCCAGTCTCTGACGTGAGACTAGCAAGGGAGGCTCTGCCCACGGGGGGCAGTCTGCGGGGGTGAGTGAAGGGGCGCCCAGCGCCGCCGCCTCGGCGATGTCTCGCTCGAGCTCCGCCTCCTTCCAGTAGCCGCGCCGGTACAGGCAGCCGTCTATGTCGCACATGTACGCGCCCCCCCCGTCGGTATCCTCGGAGCCCAGGTCGTCGGACACCGCCGCGACCGACGGGGGGGAGTCAATCGCCACACTTGCCGCCATCTGCCTTGCCACCAGCATCTCGGCCGCCCGCTTCCCCCGGCGCACGTTGCGTACGAGTGCGGACGTTTGGGGGGGGGGGGGGCGCGAAGGAGACCTTCGGCTTGGCCTTTGGCTTCGCTGCAGGCGCCGCCCCTTGCGAAGGTCCCGCAGGGCCGCAACCATCTGCTGCCGCGGCAGCTGACGCCCCTTGCGCAGGGCCTGCTGACGCCTCCCCTTGCGACGGCAGGAAGGCGTTGTGGTAATTCGCATCTGGGATGTGCTGGCCTGGCTCCTCTCCACGATCCACTCCAGTACTCGTGCCATCTTTTGCCTTCTCATCAGGTGCCACTGGCGTAGGCTCACCTTCTCGTCGGGCACGCTTGCGCGCCAGCCGCGTAAGGCGCGCTGCATGATCCGACTTGATGCTGTCCACCTTGTCCATTGCTGACTTGAACAGGCCACGCGTGACTGACTGCATATGCTGCCTGAGCTGCTCCTTCCGCGACTCGATCTCACGTGCGTCTTCAGTCGACACCTCGAACTCGTCGCCGACCTTGAAGAAGCTGTCGAAGTCGATGAAGCTGGCCACGTCCTGGGCGCCGTCGACGACGTCCGCCAAGGAGACTTTGGCCTCCGTGAGCTTCCCAGCTGCAGGATGGCCTGGATCCTTCTCCTTTGCCACTGTGGTCGCCGACTCGGACGCGAACTTCGCATACTCCGCGTCGGCCTCCTGCAAGGACTGCTCCAGCACGCGCACACACTTGGACTGCACGCTGACCCACCCTTGGTACATCTCGAGCTTGTCGACCTCCGTTGCCAGCATCTCCTCGAGCTGCTGCACTCTGCCATGTGTCCGCTGGGCCCTCTCCTGTACCGTGAGTTCCGGCCCGCGTCGCAACTCCTCAAGCTGTGCACGATACTTGGCCGCGGTGTGCTTGTCACCCAGCTTCTCCGCAAGCCCCACGAAGTTCTCCAGCTCGTCAATCGTGGGCCCAGGCTTGCCGCTGGCGTCATACAGCGGCGGCACTGGCTGTCCCTGACCCCCGCCTTGGGCAGAGAGAGCCCGCCTGGCTGCACCTCGCGAGCCGCGTCGCTCATGACTCCCACCAGCAGGCTGAGGCAAAGCCAGAGCCGACACATCAGTGGGAGCTTCCGTACGCCATTCATGGCAGTGCTTGCAAAACTCGTACTTGCCGAGGTTCTTCTTGCACCCGCAGAGAACACACGTCCATCTCTGCTGTTGCCCACCCCCTTCGGAGTGCGTAGACTGCTGCTGGTGTCCATCTCGCGTGCGGGAAGGCTGGCGACGTGGAGACGCTGCTCGGGCCGAAGGCTTGCCCCCTCGCCCAGCACCTCGACCACGGCCGCTCTTACCACCTTTCCCGACGCCATCCTCCCACTCATCCCAGGCTGCAGCGGCATTTCTGCGCCACGGGAAGTTCCGCCGATCCATCGCGCGGGAGGAAGAATGGCTGCACAGGTCTCCGGTGCCGCCCGAGGGCGGACACAACCGTACACGGATGTATATAGAATGAAGAAAGAAAGCAGAGAACCCCTGTCCAACGGGGCGTCTCCAGGGTCTCGCGCGCGCGGCGGGCAAGGCCACTTGAGACGGGGTTCCCCGATATGGCCTTGAGCCAAAATGGCTACGGACCTCCTCCTCCTCCTCCTCCTGCTCCTCCTCCTCCTCCTCCTCCTCCTCCTCCTCCTCCGTGTCCCCCACAATGCAATGTCCTCCTGGCCCCTCCCCCTCCCCCTCTTCCTCGCCTGCCCCCCCCGCGCCCCTGCCGCGGAGTCCTTGGCGGGGTGGCTAAACGGCGCAGGCTGGAGAGGTCTCTCTGTTTTCGCGCACGCCCCCGGCGCACGGCAGACCGCGAGGCAGGAGGACGAGGAAGATGATGAGGAGGGAAAAGCGCAGCATCGAGGATCGAAGTGGTTAGGGGAGGAGGAGGAGGAGGAGGAGGAGGAGGAGGAGGAGGAGGAGGAGGAGGAGGAGGAGGAGGAGGAGGAGGAGGAGGATCGAAGTGGTAAGGGCAGGCGTTTTCAGCTCCTTGGGGGCCCTGGACACTTCGAGTGGACGAGGGGTGGATGGGGAGGAGGAGCACAGCGAAGCAGGGCACGGAGGGGGTGCCCGAGGGCGGGGGCGCGGGCGACGCCGCGAGCGCAGAGAAGAAACATGCGGATCCAAAGGGCGGGGGGGAAAATGAGCAGGGAGCAGGAGTGCTGGCATGGGGCGAATGATGCCATGAAACAGGGCAGTTTTTATTACATCGGATTTTTAAAGCACAAGATGTGTTTTTACATGGTCGATGTATGAATCAAGTTATGCATGAACTCATCGTTGTTCCCCACATCCTAAGTGGGGTTCTTGTTTTCTCTGCACACCCTCCGCGCAGGATCTCTCCTCCTCCTCCTCCTCCTCCCTCTCTTCTGCTCCTTTTTGCTTCCTCCTCCGCATCATCATCACCATCACCATCACTCCCCACTCATCATCATCATCGCCATCAGCATCACCATCACCATCCCACGATCACTCACCATCATCGGCATCGAACGATCATCATCATCATCATCATCATCATCATCATCATCACTACTGGCTGACTTGAGGCCTGAATATGGGGGAAATATCAGGCGGGAACCTCGTTTGTGAGTGAATTGTGAAGAAGTCTCAGCCGGGAACCCCCTCCCTATGGGGCCCGCAATTCCTGTTCGAATCCGAACGGGTCATCCGCAACGTGCAACTATCGTCACTTTTGGGCTCTTGAGACTTGAATATGGAGGAAGTCTCGAGCGGGAGCCTCGTCTGTGAGTGAATTGCGAGGAAGTCTCAGGCGGGGGCCCCCTCCCTATGGGGCCCGCACTTCATGTTTGAATCCGACCGGGTCATCCGCAACGTGCAACTGTCGTCACTTTTGGGCTCTTGAGGCGTGAATATGGAGGAAATATCAGGCGGGAGCCTCGTCTGTGAGTGAATTGTGAGGAAATCTCAAGCGGGAGCCCCCTCCCTATGGGGCCCGCGCTTCATGTTCGAATCCGAGCGGGTCATCCGCAACGTGCAACTGTCGTCACTTTTGGGCTCTTGAGACTTGAATATGGAGGAAGTCTCGAGCGGGAGCCTCGTCTGTGAGTGAATTGTGAGGAAGTCTCAGGCGGGAGCCCCCTCCCTATGGGGCCCGCACTTCATGTTTGAATCCGAGCGGGTCATCCGCAACGTGTAACTGTCGTCACTTTTGGGCTCTTGAGGCCTGGATATGGAGGACGTATCAGGCGGGAGCCTTGTCTGTAAGTGAATTGTGAGGAAGTCTCAGGCGGGAACCCCCTCCCTATGGGGCCCGCACTTCATGTTTGAACCCGAGCGGGTCATCCGCAACGTGCAACTGTCGTCACGTTTGGGCTCTTGAAACTTGAATGTGGAGGAAGTCTCGAGCGGGAGCCTCGTCTGTGAGTGAATTGCGAAGAAGTCTCAGGCGGGAGCCCCCTCCCTATGGGGCCCGCACTCCATGTTCGAATCCGAGCGGGTCATCCGCAACGTGCAACTGTCCTCACTTCTGAGCTTTGGGACCTGAATATGGAGGAAGTCTCGAGCGGGAGCCTCGTCTGTGAGTGAATTGCGAGGAAGTCTCAGGCGGGAGCCCCCTCCCTATGGGGCCCGAACTTCACGTTTGCATCCGAGCGGGCCACCCGCAACGTGTAACTGTCGTCACTTTTGGGCTCTCGAGGCCTGAATATGGAGGAAGTATCAGGCGGGAGACCCGTCTGTGAGTGAATTGTGAAGAAGTCTTAAGCGGGAGCCCCCTCCCTATGAGGCCCGCACTTCGTGTTGGAATCCGAACGGGGCATCCGCAACATGCAACTGTCGTCACCTTTGGGCTCTTGGGACTTGAATATGGAGGAAGTCTTGAGCGGGAGCCTCGTCTGTGAGTGAATTGTGAGGAAGTCTCAGGCGGGAGCCCCCTCCCTATGGGGCCCGCACTTCATGTTTGAACCCGAGCGGGTCATCCACAACGTGTGACTGTCGTCACTTCTGGGCTCTTGAGGCCTGAATATGGAGGAAGTCTCGAGCGGGAGCCTCGTCTGTGAGTGAATTGTGAGGAAATCTCAAGCGGGAACCCCCTCCCTATGGGGCCCGCGCTTCATGTTCGAATCCGAGCGGGTCATCCGCAACGTGCAACTGTCGTCACGTTTGGGCTCTTGAGACTTGAATATGGAGGAAGTCTCGAGCGGGAGCCTCGTCTGTGAGTGAATGTTGAGGAAGTCTCAGGCGGGAGCCCCCTCCCTATGGGGCCCGCACTTC